TTATCAAAAGTTTTGGTTTTAGCTGTTCTCGGTTCCTTCCATGTTGCCGTAAATTTATATAAAACTACTAATCATTGGTACGACTACACTTAAGTTTTTATTTTCCTGGTTCTTTCTCAACATAGTGAAGATTATTTATAGGACTTTCTCAATATGATGGATGTAAATTTCAAATTTGACTTAGAATTTAATCAAAGCAACCTTTTTTAAATTTCTGGTCATTTAGGTTCTTTTGAAAGAAGACCAGCTTTGGGAAAGCGTACATATAAAATTTGTCTGAAGGGTTAGGCATTTTTCTAACCAGTGTAGACAATTTACGGATAATCCCTTATAGCTTCTTAGGAATGAAAATGTTCCTCAAATGAACATCGCAAGTAATCCTAAGGAAACCCTTTTCTGTTTTTATAGCTGTTTTGTTTACTACCATCTTTTATTTCATAAACTTCTTGCTATACCCATACTCTTCCATTCTCTTTCATCTCCGTGCCCTTTGCGATCACTTTTCTCTCAATCTCATGCTTCTCAACTTTGGCTTGGCATAACCTCTGCTATCGTCGTACAACAGACAATTGAGCATCTTGCCACTCGTGTAGAACATCTACTAGAAGGCATAAAAACCAATCAAAAGACAACAGCTGGGTCGCGGCCGCCCCCTGAACTTATCCTACGGGCGGAACAGGCATTGACTGAGGCCAACGTTGTTGTCAATGGCCAGCTAGCCAGCCAGCTATCTGGACTTTCCTACGTCAACCGGTCACAAAGTGGCCCTTTGCCGGAGGCTTCTTCCTCATTGGCTCACCAAATGCAGGTGAAAGAGCATCACTAGTCAGTAAATTTTATATGGGCGTTTAATACACTTTTTTCCTATAATTTTTTAAACTTTGTCATCAAGCTCAAGCTACCTATATTGTGCTTTCTGCTAATAGAATCATCGAGCTATTTATATGGCTGTAGGCCAGATTATTTTGATATAATTTGCTTTTAATTTTCTAATCTCCTTTCATTGCCATAATGTTTCTTTCGTTCTCTGTCCTATAGGCAGAACCATCAGATATATTTTTAAGTTTGAATTTCCTTTTATTAGGGCTATTATAAATGATGGGTTTATTCGCTATAAATTAAAAGCAAAGCTGCACTTAAGAGTAAGAGAGGTAAATGTGAGTCCTCGTGACGATATACATACCTATAGACCAAAAATGTTAGTAGCCGTCTAGGAAACCTCGGTTAGGAATGAGCCATCTCATGGTAGCCTTCGGAGTTTGTGTGCGCAAGCGTCAGTCTATGCCAGCAAGAGAACGTTTGGAATCTCATGCATTCCTATTTAGCCAACTTCTCCTGCTTCATAAGTTGACTATCAGTCATATTAAATTCCCTTTCAATATCACTTTTTTCTTCCTTAGCTTGCTAATATTCTCTTCATCTTTCTGTTCATAAGAATGCCGTGATATTCCATCGGAATGTCCTACATTATTTGTATATTCTAATCATTGGAGCTAAGTTGATATATGCAATTAGCCTAAGATTGGAATTTTTAGTCACTGCCTGCCATGCTTGGTGATTTAATTTACTTGGCTTGGATTGCATATGTTAATCCAGGTGAATTACTCAGACTAAGGTTAGTTTGTTAGAAAACCATTTAAGTTCTTTGACAATCGCTTTTTGGCACGAATGCACATGTTTTCATTTTCTATCGACATTTCTTATCGTTAATTTTCGGTGTCCTGGCCTTCCTCGAATTGGTCACAGATCATCCTAGAACAGCAGATGCATTCGACCTGCAAGAAAATGCTGGCAAGTCTAACTTCAACCTTGCCAAAGACGGTAATCACTCCCTCAGCGCACGAGGAAGACCGGGGAATCGGACAGTCCAGCGAACAAGGCAATGGTGAGGTGGACATAGCCGAGTTCACCCAGATAGTGTTGCAGCAGCAACATTATCAGCGTTCCCTTATGGAAACTGCGACAATGAGTAAAACACTTTCACGGATCTCTATCCGGCTTATGAATTACCATCTGGCAGACAAGGTAACCACATCCGATTTTAAGATACAGTTCCACCTTTAAAAAATGGTAGATTGCTCATGTACCATTTTTAAGTTTGGGTCCATGGCCGCAAATTAATTCTTACTAGTTTCCTATTCAAGAGCGCTGATTTTCTTTGTTTCTAAAACTTTTGGGAATACATTTAATTAAGCCTATTATCTATCGCTAGAAATAGTATTGCCCCAATACTAGGCTTGGAACTATCACTAGATTTTAAATAAGAGCTAGTATCCTATTTTGTTATCCTATTTGTGTACCTTTGTATTATTACTTATTTTAAAAAGTAATTAAAATTGAAAAAATTGCATATGTAATTCAA